ATGGCCGCTGAGCCTGTGCGTCTGGAGCCTGTGCTCCACAACAGGAGAGGCCATAACAGTGAGAAGCCCGCGTACCGCAAAAAAAAAAAAAAAAAAAGAATATATATATTTTTTAGTGATTGCTCTTGGGCTTACAATATACATCTTATTAGAATTTACTTCACATTTATATTAACTTGTTTCAGTGAGATGTAGAAACATTTTTCCTCTTTAGCTCATTTCCCTCTTTTTTATTTTTGTGCTATTATTGCTCTACATATTGCATCTAGATATGTTACAAACCCAACAATACCTTGTTATAATTATTACCTTATGTAATTACATGTCTTTTAAAGATGCTGACAGAAGAAAGGAGCACAAGGATATATTTGTAGCATTTGTTTTATTACCTTCTTATTTACCATTCCTAGTTTTCTTCATTTGTTCCTATAGATTCCAGTTACCATCTGAAGTCATTTCCCTAGTGCAGTACAACTTTGCTCCTGACCACTTTCTTTGTGTTATTGTTCACAAATATATTACATTTCTAATATGTTGTAGGTTCAAGAATACAATTATATATATTGTTCTATATAGTTGTTTTTTAAACCCATTAAGATAAAGCAGTAATATGCATATAAATTATATAATTAACTTTACCAGTGCCCTTTTCATGTGAATTTGAGTTGTTTCTGGAGTCTCTTGTTTTCAGCCTGAAGAACTTCATTTAGTATTTCCTGTCTGGTTTGTCTGCTAGCACTCAGTCCTCTAAGGAGGATGTCTTTTTTTTTACGTTTTTATTGGGGTATATTTGATTTACAATGCTGTGTTAGTTTCAGGTGTACAGCAAAGTGAATCTGTTTTACATATACATATATCTACTCTGTTTTTAGATTCTTTTCCCATATAGGCCATTACAGAGTATCGAGTAGAGTTCCCTGTGCTATACAGTAGGTTCTTATTAGTTATCTATTTTATATATAGTAGTGTGTATATGTCAATCCCAGTCTAGGATGTCTTTATTTTGTCTCCTTTTTTGACAGATATTTTCAGGGAATGTCTGCTTGTTGGTTGATAGTTGTTTTTTTTTGTTTTTTCCCCAGCAAGTGGAATGTGTCATACCCCTGCTGTCTGGCCTCCATTGTTTCTAATGAGAAGTTAACTGTTAATCCTATTAATGCAGTACTCTTGTACATTTTTCTCCTGGTGTTCTCAAGATTTTCTCTTTGTACATTTTTATCATATTGTGTCTTGGTGTGGATCTCTTTGCATTTATCTTACTTAGAGTTTGTTGAGCTACTTGGATGGATGTTTAGATTATTTTTCATCAAATTTGGGAAATTGTCAGCCATTATTTCTTTGAATATTTTTTCTGTTCCTATCTCTCTCTCTCTCTCTCTTTCTCTCCCCCCCCTCCCTCCTTCCCCTCCCTCTCCCACTCTTTCTGGTACTCACACTATGCCTACGTTGGTGCGCCTATCATTGTCCCGCGTTTCTATGAAGCTCTGTTCATTTTTCTTCATTCTTTTTTCTCTCAGTTCTTTGGATTGCATAATCTCTATTGAACTATCTTCAAGTTCACTGACTTATCTTCTGTTCATTCAAGTCCGCTGTTAAGCCTCTCTAGTGAAATTTTTATTTCAATTATTGTACTTTTTTTTTTTTTTTTTGCGGTACGCGGGCCTCTCACTGTTGTGGCCTCTCCCGTTGCGGAGCACAGGCTCCAGACGCGCAGGCTCAGCGGCCGTGACTCACGGGCCTAGCTGTTCTGCGGCATGTGGGATCCTCCCGGACCGGGGCATGAACCCATGTCCCCTGCATTGGCAGGCAGACTCTCAACCACTGTGCCACCAGGGAAGCCCTCAGTTATTGTACTTTTTAACTACAGAATTCCTTTTTTTGTGATATTTATTTCTCTAATGTTATTCTCTATTTGTTGAGATCATCATCATCATATCTTCCTTCTTTAAGCATGATTTCCTTTAGCTTCTTGACATATTTATAACAGTTACTTTGATGTCTTTGTTAAATCTAACATCTAGTCCCTCATAGGTGGTTTCTGTTGCCTGCCTTTTTCTGTGTCACACTTTTCTTTTTCTTTGTATGTCTTGTAATTTGTTAAGCAAAACTAATATATATATATATTTTTTCTTTTTTTTAAAGAAGATGTTGGGGGTAGGAGTTTATTAATTAATTTATTTATTTTTGCTGTGTTGGGTCTTCATTTCTGTGTGAGGGCTTTTTCTAGTTGTGGCAAGCGGGGTCAACTCTTTGTCACGGTGCACAGGCCTCTCACTATCACAGCCTCTCTTGTTGCAGAGCACAGGCTCCAGACGCGCAGGCTCAGTAGTTGTGGCTCACAGGCCTAGTTGCTCTGCGGCATGTGGGATCCTCCCAGACCAGGGCTCGAACCCGTGTCCCCTGCATTGGCAGGCAGATTCTCAACCACTGCGCCACCAGGGAAGCCCCAAAACTAATATAGCAAGTCTAGATACTGGTCTTTACTCCCCTGAGTGGGTTATTGTTGTTTGTTTGTTTATTTTTTTAAATGGCTGTGTTATTTTAGTGAAGTCTATTTTCCTCACAGTGTACAGCTTTGGGCATAAGCACAGCCACCCTGGGATGACAGTGGTTTTAGCAGGGCTCTTTTTGACTGTTTCTTTCTCTGATCTCTCTGTTAAGATTTCTGCTTCAGCTGGTGTCATGCATAGCTGTTAGGCTCCTCACTGCCAGCCAGTTACCCTCTTGTTTTCAACAGTGCCCTAGAGCCTAACTTCCTCCATAGTCTGATTCAATTAAATGTGGACTCCTTTACAAGGGGTAGTTTTTGAGGTCATTGCTTGAGGTTCTCACCCCAGAAGGACCCTTCTTAGTTGTTTCTTTATCTTGTTCTCTCTGATAAACTGGAGATATGCCTGTGACTTAGCTTATATCTGTCATGAAGATACCAGAAACCTTTTAATTGTTCTGTTGTACTTGAGAGTGACCTTAGCCTTGACCTTTCCCACACTCTGTTGGAAATAAAGTCAGTTTCTTTTGGGAGATGTTTGGAGCAAGTACCCAGGGCTGTGGCATGTTTCTTTCTGAGTGATATCCATGTTTTAGAAGTGGGATACTGGGCATGGTGGTAGCCTCTGGTCTTCTCTGCTTACCTCTTCCAGTGTGGGACCTCCACCCTATGAAAGAACTGGGGTGAGGGTGATTGGGCCCCAAGTATTCTCTGAGCCATCCCTGGGGTAGAGCCTTCCCTTTCTGAGTAGGGATGGGTGAAACAAGAAGCCTGGAAACTCTTGGATGCACTTATTTCAAATTTGTTCTCTTCTGTATGCAAGTTGGGGTGGCAGAGATGGGAAATGCTACTGGCCTGCTTCTCCCAGGGAGATACCATAGCCCTCAACTGGGAGTTTGGGAAAGACGGAGGCCTTATGTTGTCCACAATGCCTGAACTGAGAAGGGAGAGGGAGTGGGTCATGGTTCAGATGCCACAGATTCTTGCTGTTCTGAGTTTTAGTAGATTCTCTTTAATAATTGTCTAGTCATTTTCTGTATGCCTTAGGGCATTTCCAAAGACTTTAAATGGTTGTTTTTAAAAATAATTTTCACGTTATGCTTGTTTTGCTGGGGAGTGGCTTTATTGAGCTCTTCATGCTGCCATTCCAGAAATGGAACTCCAGCTATGAATATTCTTGTTTGTACCTCCTACTTACATGGACAACAATCTCTTTACGTTAGAAATACTGGGTTAGAGGGTATGCAAATTGGAACCAGTTTGGCACAATGTAGAGTTGAACAAAGCAGTTGTACCAAATTACACTACCAGCCTAAAGATGTTGAGAGTTTTTGTTGCCACACATCTCTCTAACACTTAATATTGTCACTGGACTAATTAATTTTTTTCTCTCTAGGTAGATATAAAGTGATATCTCACTGTGGTCTTAATTTACCTTTCCCTGTCACTGGTATCTGTGTTTCTTTTTTGCATTTTGGATATTTGTTCACTGAATATACGTGAACTAAAATTTTCTCCAATTTTTTTTTTTAGTTTATTTATTTTTAAAAATTTATTTATTTTTGGCTGCGTTGTGTGTTTGTTGCTGCACAGGGGCTTTCTGTAGTCGCTGTGAGCAGGGGCTACCCTTTGTCGCAGTGCGTGGGCTTCTCATTGTGGTGGCTTCTGTTTGCAGAGCACAGGCTCTAGGCACGTGGGCTCAGTAGTGTGGCGCACAGGCTTAGTTGCTCCACGGCATGTGGGATCTTCCTGGACTGAGGATTGAACCCGTGTCCCCTGCCTTGGCAGGTGGATTTTTAACCACTGCGCCACCAGGGAAGTCCCCAAATTTTCTCCAATTTTGTGGTTTGTCTTTTTACCTGAAGATGTCTTTTGCTGATCAAAAGTTTTTAAAATATAGTTGTATGTATCAAACTTTACTTATTTAAGAAATTTTTCCCTATCCCAAGTTCAGAATGACAGTTTTCTGCAGTGTCTAAAAGTTTAAAAGTTTTTAATTTTTATCCTTGTATCCTTAATGTCCTTGGGTTTTTGTGTATGGTGTGAAACTTTTCATCTTTTCCATTAGTTAATTGAGCAAGCCCTATTTATTGAATAGTAGCTCTTTTTCTCACTGATCTGCAGTGCTTTTAGAAAAATTTGATATGACGTATCTGCGGGCTATTTGGGGTCTATTTGGGAGTTTTCTGTTCTACTCCATTGGTCAGTTTGTGTAGTCTTGTGCTGTTACCATACCGTCTTACTGTAGCATTATAAATAGTTTGATGTCATGAGGAAAAGTGTTTTGCCTTCTTCAGGAGTATCTTGTTCATATGTTTAGACTTTTAATATTTTAAATAGCTTTGAGTGACAACATTTTTTCCATATTATATATCTTAATTAGTAGACATGGAATTCAGTATGTACTAACTAACCACTTATTCAGAACACTTTATAGCACTGAAAGAAGGGGAAGAAGAATATGTGATGATTATACTTTATTAGCTCACATTTTATTTTCTTTTAACTATAGGAACAGTTTTGATCAAAAGTAACAGTGGTCAGTTGATGTTGGTATCTCCTCAGCAAGCTGTAACAAGAACCGAGACCACAAGTAACATAACTTCAAGGCCAGCTGTACCAACGAATACTCAAACAGTCAAAATCTGTACAATGCAGGTAATGTACATTAAAGTTTTTTTCATCCTCCTTAGTTTTCCAGCAGTTATCCTCATATAAATTTGTATGTATTTGCCAGTAAAAATATAGAAGAGATGATTCTGCTCGACTTTTTGAATTAAGCTACTTTCTTTGAATATGTTAATTTAATCTAGGTGTTTGGTTTTGTCGTTTGGCAAAACTAATAAGTTAATCTTCGTACTCAAAGATTTTGTCGTCCTCAAGGGGATGTTCAAAGGGCTATGTGCATCTCTAAACAGGAAGAAAATAACCATTCTGCTTCAATTTTAATTTGTGGTAAAACATTAACACTACAATTTATAATATTCTTTTTTATCCATATCATATAGGAATTACCTTTAAAAAAATTAGAAATCTGCTGTAATATTTCATTAACTTGGCATTGTTAGAAGATGATTTATTTTACATACGTGATCATCTTTCTAGGTAACTAAAGCTTATCCTGTGCGTGCCAGAGTTAAAAAGTATATTTTTATGAGCATCTTTCTTTGGTTAAACAGAAAATGTGGAATGTAGTATAGTATTTTCTTGATGAAGCAGGCTCATCCTAATAAAAAGTTTCATTGTATTCTGTGGTAATATCATTCTTTGCCAGTTTCCCCCAACCCACTCTCTCATAATTTGATTCTAGGTTCTCAGCCAGTCATTTTCTCTATTTCTGTATCTGTCAATGATAGCTGCTCCTTCCCTTTCTTGTTTGCTATGGGTTGAGGAGATAGGTTAGCAGACTTTTGTTTATAATAATATATTAAATAAGAATCTAAGGGGGAGGGGCAAGATAGAGGTAGAAGATTAAGAGATACAAACTACTGTATATAAAATAAATCAGCTACAAGGATATATTGTACAACACGGAATATAGACAATCTTTTAAAAATAACTATAAATGGAGTATAACCTTTAAGAATTGTGAATTGACATGTTGTAAACCTGAAACTTATATAATACTGTACATCAACTATACTTCAATAAAGAAAAATGATAATTATGTGATGTGATATAGTTGTTATGGTGGGAATCACACTGCAATATATAAATATATCAAATCACATTGTACACCTTAAATTTACGCAATGTTATATGTCAATTATATCACAAAAAATAAAGTTTAATTAAAGTTATTTTTAAAAAAAGACTAAAAGGATACCAACAATAGAAATGACCAAAAAAAAAAAAAAAAGTATATGTTTTCTGTGTAAGCCAAAGAGTAAAATTCAATATTTTAATGCAGAAATACTGTGATATTTATCTGTTTAATCAGTTGCCTCTTTAGGAATAAGAAATGAGTGTCAACTGGCCAATTGACCACTTAGGTTAATAGTAGAAAATATGCATAAAATTCATGAGGTTATAAACCAGTTATAACAAAGAAGTTTGCTGTGGTAAAGTGTTTTGATGTTTGCCATAGTACCGATTAATTTTAAATTACTAATGCTGATGACTCTGTACTATCTCCCCTCCCCTCCAAGAATTCTAGTTCACAGTTAATCAAGAAGGTGGCAGTGGCACCTGTTAAACAACTGGCACAAATAGGAACTACTGTGGTAACCACTGTTCCGCAGCCTTCCCCAGTGCAAGTAAGTTGTGACTTGTGGCCATGTGCACACTGGTTATTTTCTCATCTTTTGTTATTATTTATTGTTAGCTATTTCCTGAAGAGAGCAATTCAATGATATATGAGGACACTTATTAAACTGGGAGCTGTTAGAGGTATGGGAAACACAAGATGAACATGGTGTATATTCTTGGAATATCAGATTTATTTGAATGTATTAAATTAATACAAATGCATCTAACGTTCATGTGTCACAGTGTCTAGAAGCAGGTGCTGGGACAGAATTTTGGTGTATGGGATATTTATTAGGGGTTCATACCTGTGGAAGGGAAGGAGAGTAAGAGTTTGAACTAGATGCAGGTCCAATAAAGCCTCAGCCAACCTGATGGAGAGCTTTGGAGCAAGTGTAGCACGTCAGAGTTGTCCCACTGTGTGCCAACATGGTTGGATGAGCCATAATTTCCCCTCTGTGATCAGTCATAGGATGTGGACTCTCCAGGGAGAGTTGTGCTCATGGGCAGGTAATTCTCTGTAGCTGAAGCAGACTCTGAAGGAGCTGACAATTGTCGTCTGTCTAAATAGCATTCCCAACAGCTAGGATAACACAAATCTCTCTTTGTGATGGTGTATCACAGTCTACTCCTTGAATTGCTGGGATTTACTTCCTCATATGTGTTGGAAACCAGCTCTCCTTGGATTTCTGTAGGTTTCTTCCTTGGAGAAGCAAAGAAGAGGTTAGTAGGATGAACTACAGTCCCCAGTGCTGCAGCTGATACCATCATTTCCTCCTCCACCATCCATTCTAGATTCCTCCCACACTCAACTACCAACTCTTCTGGGTCTTAAGTGGTAGTGTGATCAGACTTTTATCCCTGAGGGATCCAAGGTCCAAATTGCCACAGTCCTTTGAGGCAAGAGTTGTGTCACTTGTCCATTTATCATCACAATTGGGCAAGGAAATACCAAGAGGCACTTAAGTGGATCACCTGGATTCACTGCATAAACTCCTCTTGGCCTTCATTGTGTAAAGGCTACCCTACCTATTCCAGTTGTCAGGTCCGTTACCCCTGTCATGATAATGACTCTTCTCTTTCCTGTTGATCACTGGACACAGGGACCCTGAAGTGTCCAAGAGGCAGCCATGGTGTCTAGTTTATAGGGAGTGTGCCCACTATTGGCAGGAATGGGAAGCACAGGATCCCCCAGTGGATCTTTGGGAGTAATGGTAAGTGGAGCCATTCATCCTTCTACTCTTAGATTCCTTGGTTCTTCATATATTTGTCCTGTTGGGGACATAGTACCATATAGAATTTTTTGATTCAGTGAGTATGCACTAAGTCTTAGAAGATGGAGGATAGAATTCCATCTTCATAGAGTATTGTTTCTGAGTTTGCACTTCACCTGTGTTTTCTGCACGCTGTCCTAATACTTTACTAGGCAGGCAGCTTCTGGATCATGCCATATTTGATACAATCAGTGGATCCCATGGTCATGGGACCACTGTTGTACTTCCTTTGCTGTATAGAAGGTACATCTTCTTGAAGCATGTTATGTGAAATCCCATGCTGTGGATCAAACATGGTGTTTGGTGTTTCAGAATTACTTAACCGTATTACTTCCTCTAACAGAGATGGTGATCAGTGAACCTGATTTTAAACATAGTTTTTGTTGTTGTTGTATTGTTTTTGTTGTTTTTTTTTTTTGCTAATAATGGCTACCATTTATTGAGCACTTAATGTGTTGGACACTTTTTAAGTGCTTTACATCCCTCATCTCATTTCATTTCATCCTGTGACTATTCTGTAAGGAAGTGTTATCTCTATTTTATGTAGGTGAAAATCAGTTTAGAGAAGTTAAGAAATTTGCATGATTTCTGCTAATATGTAGCAAAGGGGGCATTTGAACCAAGGTCTCTATCTGACTCTGGAAACTCTATTCTTAATGACCTCTGTGCTGATTGTCTCAAACTCTAGGTTCCACCTCCCCCCTGCCCCCCTGCCCTTAGGTTATTCTGGGGAGATCACTGGGCCAAAGGGTATGAATTTAAGCCTACTGATAGCTGCTATGTGTTGTAAGAAATAATTATGTTTCTTAAAATGGGATTTTTTTTTTTGTTTTTGATCAGTCAGATGTGGACACCAAATAACACCACAGGAAGGTATATGAAAGTGAAAGAGACATCCTATACTGACAGGTCCTAGAAGAGGGTGGCATGGAACGACATGCAGGGGGCCATATGGGAGGAGCACCGGGGCAGATTGAACCAAACAAGTGGGGATCTGAGAGGGAATGAGGACCTGGGGGCAAGTGCCTTTGTTGAGGGTTGGTATGGAGTACACAAGCAAAAGACCTGAGGGGATTTCATTGGTGTGTTTGAATGTCATTATGTCACAGTTGGGAGAGCAGAAAGGGAACTTGTGGCAGGGACCAGCCTTGCACCTGGTCACCTGGGCAAGGCGTTCACAGCCTGTTTGTAGGGATGTTGAGGCAACAGAAAAATACGAAGTTCGAAGAATTTACAATACAGTTATTTTATGAAAGGGGTTTCAACTTCCACAGTATTTTGAGTAAATCAGTTTTTTTATTGTATCTATTTATTAAAGATTTAGTACATATAGTTGTACTAAAATGGTATATATGTGTTGTTTAATTCTTTTCCTTGGGTTATTTTTCCATATATATGTCTACAGTTGCTATTTCCATGCAGGGTGTGTATAACTTTTCTTAATTTAGATTGATGCCTTTTTTAAGCTGAGTTGCTCCTTAGTGGTAGGCTAAGGCAGTAGAAATTATCAGTGAAGTTAGTGAATAATTTCTGTGTCCACTTTGAGAGGTAAAGCATCTCAATTTTAGGCATTTCTTGGAAATAAGGAGCTAGAACTTGGATGACTCTCCTTAAAAGGCAATTTAGTCTGTTAAGTTTGTATACAATTAATTTCACTGACTCTTGTGTATTAATATAACTGATTTTCACAATTTACTTCACATATACCCCAGGTCTTTTCTCTCCGGTCCCCTAGACATGCCTAATCAGTGCCAGTGCAGTCTTGCAAAGCATGGAAATAGCGTTGCCTGGTCTAGAATATTGAGATTTATGATTGAGTTTAAAACAGTCTGTCCATTATGGCAGTGTGATTATATACATAGAGTAAGACCAGGATTGTGTATTTCTCCATGCCTTTTAAGAGTTGCAGGTATCTGGTAAGGTACAGGTAGTAGCTATATTAAAAAGAGTTATGAAGGAAAAATTTTGTGCTGGAGACAGAATAAAATATTGACAAGGAAAGTAGGAGTGCTACAAATGCTGCTTCTACTCACAAAAAATAGGACTTTTTTCCTGAGCTCACATTTCGTTGGGCCTTATTTTGCTTCATAAGGAAGAGGGACAGTACTCGCCTGAGGAACCCCTCCCATCAGTCCTGCGAGGTAATCATAGTCAACAGCTAAAGTTCGACATTACTTTCTTAAATATAGTAGTACAGAGAATTAATGGTAGAGTATAAAACATACTCACTGAAAAAAGAGTATGTGTTTACTGTACATAAACCTAAGAATGTTTATTAGAAGATCTCCAAAAGAATTCAGAGGGAACTGTACAGTACTTGTCCTTGAAGAGCAGGACTAGGGATAGACTAAGAACGAGACTTCATTTTCATTGTTGTCTTTGAGATCTGTTAATATTTAATAAAACTACTAATTTAGGTATGATTTTTAATTTTACCTTTTTTGCTTAACATTTCATAACTTTTCATCTTCATCATTAATCAGTGTTTTAAATTTCTTTCCCATTTTTTTACCTCCAAAACATTCTTGTCTAATATATGCTTCAGTCTTTCTAAAGTGGAAATTTTTTTTTTTTTTTTTTTTTTTGCGGTACGCGGGCCTCTCACTGTTGCGGCCTCTCCCGTTGCGGAGCACAGGCTCCGGACGTGCAGGCTCAGCGGCCATGGCTCACGGGCCCAGCCGCTCTGCAGCATGTGGGATCTTCCCGGACCGGGGCACGAACCCGTGTCCCCTGCATCGGCAGGCGGACTCTCAACCACTGCGCCCCCAGGGAAGCCCTAAAGTGGAAATTTTTGATGTATATTTGAATTCACTTATATTAATTGTTGCAGAAAGAAAGTTTCTTGAGGGTAATAACAACCTGACCTTTTTGTGTTTTATGCCTGTAGAACACAAGTATTTAAATTAAAATGATGGTGCACTGTTCAGTTTTCTGTGTGAATTGTAAATACTGTTCTCTCCCCTACCCTCAAACTTTACTCATGTTCTGTAACTTTTAGTGTTTGTCTTTAAAGTAAGATTGTTGCTTTATCTCAATCTGCTTGTCTAAATTATTACCCAATTTGCGATTTCTTATATTAAGCTTTTTATCCTGCAGGTGGTGCTATAATCACACCTCACCTAATAGAGGATAGAAGAAACAACCGGAATTCTTTTCAGTGTGAAAATAAGATAATCACATTTTGTAATATTTGTTATTACAAATTACAAAGCTATTACTGTTTTTCTAATAGTCTACATAAAAGCAGCTTATCTGAATATGAGACGATCAATAGATCTCTCAGATTTATACTTAATAAAAAGCAGAATATTATAAAATAAATTCTATATTTTCTTACAAAAACTTACTATTTCAAATTTTTTTGGAGAAGTATTAATAATATTTGAGGACTACGTGCTTGGCACTGTTTTTTAAAAACAATCCCAGGATAGTAGGTACCATTGCTGTCCTTGTTTTTTACAAACAGGAATCAGAGGGTTAGCAGGATAAAGTAACTTGCCTGAGGTCAACACTTGGGTGTCAGTGATAAATAGGTAGGTAGGTGAGAATGAAACCCAGAGCTGCCAGAGTCCAGAGCTGGTAAATGGTGTTACATTGCCTTAGACTAGTAGAGCATAATATAAAAGCAAGGATGTCAAGATCCATTTGTAATCTAAGTGTGAAATGAGGCACTCGCCATGATGCATATCATAGTAATACATCTCTCGATATCTACCGCTTTTACTTTCAGTCTGTGGCTGTGCCAACCAGTGTTGTCACAGTGACCCCTGCAAAGCCGTTGAATACTGTGGCTACCCTGAAGCCTTCAAGTTTGGGAGCGCCACCCACCCCCTCAAGTGAGCCCAGTCTCACAGCAGAGAACTCAGCCACTGCTCAGACTAGTCTTTCTCCGGTAAAGCTCTCCCTTGTACCTTACATAAATAGAACTCTTTACAAATTTTCTTCAAGTATATTTTCTAGCTAACATTTGTGAGTGTTTGTTTATACTTCTATATTTAGACGATGCTAGAAAATGTGAAGAAATGTAAGAACTTCCTCGCAATGTTAATAAAACTAGCGTGTAGCGGGTCACAGTCCCCGGAGATGGGGCAGAATGTGAAGAAGTTGGTGGAACAACTTTTGGTAAGTTGGGACTATAAAAGCTCTGTAAGCAGCCGTAGAACATGTTTTAAATGAGAAATAAATATTTTTAAATGAGGTTTATCTTAAGTGCGTTTTTGGATAACCTTTGCTTTTGCTTATTGAAAGCTTTGTAATGATTATAAATCTTAGACTAGTAAATCTAGTCTCTACAGTCGTCCCTCAGTATCCATGGGGGTTGGTTCCAGGACCGGCCGAGGATACCAAAATCCACGGATGGTCAAGTCCCATAGTTGGCCCTCCCTATCTGTGGGTTCCGCATCTGTGGATTCAACCAACTGTGAATTGTAAATATAGTACTACACCGGTCCTTAGTTGGTTGAATCTGCTCATGCAAAACATGGGGATATGAAGGGCCGACTGTATTACTTTATGTTTGCTAGTCTTGCTTCACTTAGCCTAAAACGAGCTTTGGAGAGAAGGTTGACTACTTGGTCAAATAAAAACTTATTAGTATTTGGAGAATATTTGGCCTCATGAAAAGAGGTGGTTGGAAAAGTATTTTAAGAGCTTTTCTCCAGATCATTATGGATATTCTTTAGAGTCCACTGGTTTGTCTTGTACCCTGGATGGATCTTTCACCCAAATGTAACAGCTCACATTTGGTTGTCTGGAAAATAATTGGTTCGCTGAGTTGTATAGATCTTCCAAATGTTGACAGATTTGTTCATTAAGATATCAAAGAATCATACTTGTAATCTAACAATCGCATCAGAAAATTTTTTCAGTACAGGGAAGCTGTACCGAAGCTTCAGGATTGTGGTTACAAATTTTCCAAGGATCAACCTCAGGATTGTGGTTACAGATTTTCCAAAATTCTAATTTTGGCTTGAGAGCTCTGATTTTTATCATTAGCAACAAAAACCTTCAGTTGTTTTCCTTACAGTGACAGGCTTCGTTTGTTTGTTTGTTTTTTGAGAGAGTGTCTCTCAAAATACCCCAATGTGAATAACCACAGCTGGTTTGATATTCTTTCCAGTAAATGAAAAAAAAGCAGCTAGCTCAGCTAGCAACTCAATCACAAAGTGCTTTTCCTTGAGTATCTTACTTTGGTCTACTGTATGTATGGTTCCCATTATTTTGCACACAGTATTTTTAAAAGATGTCTACTGAAGGGTTAAGATTTAGTAAAATTAAATTTTACTGTTCTGTGAAGGACATTTTAAAGTGGAACTGGCTCTATTTTTTTTTTTTTACCACACATGCATAGCAATGCAGAGTATGACGACAACTATTTAAATTTTTTATCATTGCCTTTCTTGCCAGCAGTTGCTTTCGTACCATCAGTGCAAATCTCAGCACAGTGAAAAAGGCAAAAAAATGATTAGTATTAATGTGAAAATAATTTAGACCTCATAGACCCCTGCAGTGTTTAGAGTCCAAACCAGTACGGAAGGATTCCTAAGTTCTTTGGAACAACAGCATATCTATTATTGTGGCCTTATAATAAAATACAGTCTAACGTCAGTTAAAGTAATTTAAAAATTGAGAAAAGAAAACAAAAAAAATCCAAGGCCCCCACACCAAATAACTTCCAATTTCCTACCCTAAGAAGTGTAGGACTCCTGTGTCTTTACTTCTTAATTGTTCTTAACAGACTGTAGTACTATCACCTTATCCAGTCAGCCAGCTCTTCTCTCACTTTGCTTACTGGGATCTTAAAAAAAAAAAATAATCTCTTCATTGTATTCTGTATGAAAAAACATCTCTATGTTTATTTTGTAGGGGACATGAAAAAACTGCCCCTATTTAATGATAGACTTTGACTTTATTACTGTTCAAAGTTTGCTATGTCTACAATCATGAACCACACACTTTTCCTCTTGTAAAATATTTGTAGACCTAAAAGTGTTTTCTTTCTTCCATTCCTCAGGATGCAAAAATTGAAGCAGAAGAATTTACTAGACAACTGTATGTTGAACTCAAGTCTTCACCTCAGCCTCACTTAGTTCCTTTCCTTAAGGTAGTTATGTGTTACTTTGAAGAAATAGTTTGAATTAGATTACTGTAAAATAATTTAAAATCTGAATATTTCAATATGACAGCAATTTAATGTGAAGATAGTAACAGTAGAAGAAATCTCTCAGGGCTGTTGTAATCTGTAAAGCACATTCATAATTCATATTCTTTGCATTGGAACACATTGAGAAAACAGAAGTAACATCTCATTCATAAACATAACTTAATGATTATATTATTTGATGCTTGTATTCTCAAAGATCCTTAACTTTAAAAAAAATAGTGTCTCTGCTTTGTCCTGATGACTCTTATTCTCTTAGAAGTAGTAAACCACATGGTACCAAATTTAGTGGGAAAGCTATTATTATTTTTTTTCTTGGAGGGAGGAAGCTATTATTTTTAAAAATTAATTTATATTGTTAGTAGACACACTCTTCTCTAAGATTTATTGAATTAAATAGATTTTGATGGAGAACAATAACTTTGATAACAAGAGCTTTGTTTGGCAGGCTGAAAAAATACATTCCTTTTGGATATTTTGAAGCTGAAAAGGAATTGAATTGAAATTTATAAAGTTATTAAAGACCTGAGATTTTAGTGAACCAAACACTCATCCCATATATTTTGAAATAATGGAACGAAGAGTTGCCTTTAGAAAAATTTGGCTTAATTATCTAGGGGAGATGAAAGAGACTTCATAGAGGAAGACTCTTCGATGCCTCATGAAAGAAGAGTGGGAAAGGAGATGGGGCACCACATTTTCAGAAGGCTATTAAAATAACTGGAAATTGTCCCTAGGAGGCTGACCATGTTGATTAGGAAGATGCCAATCATGTGATATAAAATGTGGCTAAAAAACTGAGAATGTTTTAGCCAGGGAAGACTTAATCTGGGGAAGGGAAGATTGAAGGGTCAGTGCAGTACCGAACATCAAATGACTAGAGGCCTGTTTTCGGGTGACCCTCTTGATTGAGAAGTTAGCTGCAGTTCTTCTTGGGTCCCTTTCAATGTAAAAGTTCTGTGAGCTGTAGGTGCTCTACGTGACACTGACAACTCTGTTTAGTGTATCTATGTTTCATACTCACTGGAGACACTGGGGGGGAGAAGGAGGGAAATAAGAAAGTACCTACTATGTGTTCTGTGCTTTGCTAGCTACTTCACTTATAATTTGTATTGTTTGGACTTAATTTTCATATCAGTCTTTTGACAATAGGTGCTAGATGGTATAGTATTTTCCATTTTGGAGATGAGAAAATTGTTTAAATTGACTTAACTTTTGATCAAACACACAGGTCTAGAATTTAGCCTGACTCTACTGGCTATGTAACACTCCCTTGAAGTTACTAAATATTACCATTAAGTACTTGCATTTTGTATCAGTTTTCTAAGGACTATTATTAAGCCTTATGTTTTTATCTTGAGAATATTTTTTTCATATCCTTGAGAGCTCTGGAGGTTGGACTTTGCATAGGGATAAGGGATTCGGCATTTAGACTTAACTCTGGCCAGGTGATCAAGAGATAATTTAGCATACATGTTTTTATTGTTGTCTCTTTAAGTCTTATTACTTTAACATTTCTTTCCAGTTGTGTTTTTCTCAGGTCTCCCCCATCTTAGATTTCTTGCTTAAATTTAATTAATCAAATCACTTCATTTGTTCATGTATTTCCAAAGCAGCTTGTTTTCTACCTTTTTTTTTTTTTTTTTTTTTTTTTTTGGTATGTGGGCCTCTCACTGTTGTGGCCTCTCCCGTTGTGGAGCACAGGCTCCGGACGCGCAGGCTCAGCAGCCATGGCTCACGGGCCCAGGCTCTCCGCGGCATGTGGGATCCTCCCAGACCGGGGCACAAACTCGCGTCCCCTGCATCGGCAGGCGGACTCTCAACCACTGCACCACCAGGGAAGCCCCTGTTTTCTACCATTTTTAAAGTTTGGGAAAAGAGCGTGAAAGACTTTTTGTTTCTTTCTTTTGATACTATTTATAGATATATATAATTGAAAACCTTCAGATTAAAATATTCTCAATCTATTTAAGTAAAAAAAAGTAAAAGAAGTAACTAGAAGGAAAGGGAAGAGAAGCAATAGTGCTCATTTGCTTCTTAAGTAAAGGCAATCTGACTGAATTTAAGTATCAAAACAAGGAAATCTTCCAAAACAGCTCATGAATTCGCTGAAAGATAACCTACTAACCACCTCCTTTTTCATCTTGTTTTCTTACTCAAAAACAAAAGTAGATAAAACCCCCAGGGATGAAAAGGCAGAACCTTCTTTATAGGTTAAGCTGTTTTTATTTTTTTAGCAAGATACAAAGGTAAACTCCAACTTAAAACCCAGTCAGAAAATATTCTAGCTCAATTAAGGAAATTGACCTTCTTTCTATTAATTTTATTTTGATGTAAAGGCTGTTTCTACTCAAAGTTTGGAAGTTATTTAACAAAAACTTTTTTTTTTAGATTCTGCTGTCCTGTAAACAAACTTGTAAATACTGAAGTTATGGGTGATCTATTATGGGGTTTAGATAAATACAAATAAGCAGGATACAGTGTTTTATTTTACCAAATTAATATTTGATACCAATTTGATACTGAAGTATATAAAATAAGTTTAATACTGAGACATAATAATTATGAATTGAAAAATGAAGCACTTCGGGGCTTTAAATTATATCCTGGATATTGACAGAATGTAAATGATTGATAACAGATTTCCTCAACTGAAACGTTGGTATACTTTTAATTTTATGTTGTAAAGATATGACATACAAAGTAGTTCTGTTTTACTAGAGCTCATTTATTTAGTTATCAGTGTTTTTTTTGTCCTCTGTTTCTAGAAAAGTGTGATTGCCTTACGACAACTGATGCCTAATTCCCAGAGCTTTATTCAGCAGTGTGTTCAGCAGACTTCTAGCGAGGTGGTCATTGCTACCTGTACCACAACAGTAACGCCTTCTCCTGTGGTGACAACAGTAGTTTCCTCAGTCCAGCCTGAAAAGCCCATCATTGGTTCTGAAGCAGCAACATCTGGAACTGTGTCAGTGCAAACTTTGAATCCACTTGCTCCAGGGGGAGCAAAAACTGGAGTTGTGACACTTCATTCTGTGGGTCCAGCTGCTGTGCCAGGAGGAACAACAGCTGGAACTGTTGTCCTTCAGACTCCAAAACCGCTAGTGACATCTCTGCAGAACACAGTGACAGCAGTCTCACTTCAGCCTGAAAAGCCAGTTGTCTCTGGGACAGCAGTGACACTGGCCCTCCCCTCGGTAACTTTTGGAGAAACCTCAGCAGCAGCTGTATGTCTTCCGTCTGTGAAACCTGTTGTTACTTCTGCTGGGACCACATCTGACAAGCCTGTCATTGGCACTCCAGTCCAAATCAAACTTGCACAGCCGGGCCCCGTGCTTACACAACCAGCCAGCATTCCACAGGCAGTTAAAGTCAAACAACTAGTGAGTAACATTTCATTTCTTCCTCCATTTCTTCTTTTGAAAATTTCAGACATTCAGAAAACTGGCAAGACTAGTAAAATGAACCCCTGTGTACCCTTGACCAGGGTTGACCAGTTGTTAACGTTGTACCATGTTTGCTTTGTCTCTCCCCCCTCTATTCACATACACAAACACACACGTAATTTTTTCCTGAATCATTTAAGAGTTGGTTACAGAAATTGACTTTGTGTCATTAAGTACTGTGTATCTCTTAAGGAAAAGGATTTTTTTTAGCATAACTGCAAACGTACTTATTATCACACATGGGTAATTAATATTGGCACAGTATTTACAGTTGTCCCAACAATGTCCTTAATAGCTAGTTTTTTTCCTGATGTTTCTAGTAAAGAATTGCATATTACACTTGTCTTTTTTTTTTTTTTTTTCAGGCTCCGTTAATCTAGAACAGTTCTCAGCCTTTTGTAGTTGTTCATTGTGTTGTACTATTTTAAGTGCCTGGGCTAGTTGTTTTGCAGAGTGTCCTTTATTTTGTTTTGTCTAATCATTTCCTCAAGACTAGATTCAGATTAAATATTTTTGGTAAGGTTATTACATAGGTGATATTATGGTAACATTTCTTTTAAAAATGTGCTGAAGGAAGAGAGAAGTGAGGGGAGTAGATGAGTAAGAAGTTGTGTTTCTTCCTAAACTCTATAGATTGGGAAGTTCTTGGGTGGAAGAAACCTGAAATTTTAGCTGTTTATCTGTTAGTGTTTAGATTTACTTCACTCAAGACATGTTTTATCGGAAGACTGAAAGTATTGTTAACCTGTGGAAGATAGTACATGGTGAATTAATTAAAAATCGTGTTTTTTAAGTAAAGTTCTCTACCTTATACTGTAACAGAACTAACTGTTCTTTTGATTTTTGGTGATTGCCCTTGTTATTCTTTGAAAACCTTCATGTTAAAGGCTGTTTTTGAATCTCTTTGTTTTAGTTTTTTCTGCTTTTTGGAAAAGTAAAATCTAAGTAAACTTCCCAGCCTTGTGTACGTGATCAGGAGAAGACATTAGTATCTGTGAATGATTGTCTTTGAGGCAGAGGGCAAGCTTTAGGTGTAGAATGAAAGAGGAAAGATCAGTTTGGACAACAGTCAAAACTCTTGGGTAGGTGGGAAGTAATAATCGTTTCCTGGGCGTTGATCTTTTTTCATCCCTTCCTACTCTGCGTCTGATTTTCAAGTAGAGAAATGTACCTGCCTTGTGGCGTTTCTCTTGGGCGTCTGCATTTAATCTCAGAGACGAACCTTCTTTAGAAGCAGTGATTCTTAAACATCGATCTGAGTAGCCAGGTTTAGGAACCATTGTAACTGTAATTGCCTTGGTGAAAGGTCTCTTTTGGTAGCACTTAAGAGTATTGAAATCCTCTTTATGGGTCATAGCTGATTCTTGAATAAATGCTAATCTTTATTGAAAATCTATAGCATATCCACCCCTAAGTGAAATAATACTTTATAGCTACATAGAGTCTTAAAACATGTCTTGTATGCAGTATGAATTTTGAAATAATTTTGGTGAAGACAAGGCAGGGAGAAAACTAAGAATCCCAGAAATTGTAAGGGACCTATCCACTGGCACTCAACAAGTAATAGATCTCAGCCTAGAACCCAGTGTCTTTCCCATTAGATTCTGGCACTTATGGCAAGAACTTCTAGGTTTCTAGAGGGTCCTGAAATGGAAAACTGTCAGGTAATAACATCTTGACAGCATTTACATTTTATAGGCTTACCTTGTTATACATTAGAAACAGTTTCAATCAAGAAAAACATGTAACAAAATCCACTGGTAAATTTTAGGGATTTTTAAATTTCCTGCTTTCATTCTTAAAAGAATGGGGAATATATTTTCCTTGTGAATTCTGTTTTCTTGTTTGGCCTTTGTTTCAATTTTAGTCAACAAATTTGATGTCCGTATTCATATCTTCCTGTTTAAAATGGCAGAAACAGAGCAGCTAGACACTGAAGATGCATTGTAATCTGTTTTATAACAAATTTTTACCTGGGGCACAAAACAACATAAGCTGTTCTTTCTGTATGGTAATGCCACAGAGAGTATTGAACTAGGACATTCTTTCAAATCAGCTAATTTAGAAAATTAATGTTACTTAAGTTTGAATTAGTATTACTTACTCAAGTAATTTAAGAATATCATCAGCGAGTTCATTATAAACCATAGTCCAGTTTAATCCTAGGTCTGTCTAAGTGAGGAGGAAAACACTCCGGGTGCTAGAAACATAAGAAAGTATTCAATGCAGCTTGTAAGAAATATGGTAAATAATTATTTAAAATACGAGAATTGCCACGCTAGTTCAAATCTGTGGTCCATGTAACTCAGGATGCAATCTCCAAAAGTGGTCTGAACAGTAGAAGTATGGCTGTGTTTTTCAATGTTAGGTATAAAATTTGTGTGATTTATTTCCTTTAATAATCATGAATTTAAAAATCCCTGTTAATACTTTATCTTTTTCTAGCTTGTCTAGTTTTCCTAAAGAGTTGTATAGGTTTCCTGCCTTCTTGATAAGATGTTTTAAATATCACACTTTCAAGGTATGAGAATCCTCTTAATCTGCCATTGCAGGGTTTAGATTTTGTACAGTTATTATTTTATGAAGTATATGTTTTCATTCCAGATTAAAGAGACCCTCCTCCCAATTTTTAAAAAAAAATTTAGATTTATGACCACATGTTATCTTTTCTATCTCATGGATTTTTTTGTATGTTACCCTCTGGGGATCTGCTAAAGTTCTCATCAAGTAAATTAGCTAGGATTGTTCACACTTTCTTTAGGTGTAAATTTTTCATTTTGTACCAGTAGTTCAACATAGTGCTTTGTATATCTTGGTCCTCAAATGCTTGAATTGTTGAAATATGGACCTAATCAGTAGTTCCCGGATTTCATCTAAGAATCTAATTCTTTTAAATGATTAATCTTATTGGTTGTCTACCAATTCTAGCATAGCAGCTATTATAGGATGTTATATACTACAACTAAGCGGAGCTTGACATTTTTACCTTTTTTAAAAAGTTAATGAAAGAGAGTGGATGAATTGGATTAGAATCTACCAGTGGTGGATAGATAATAAGTAGAAGCTTTCAGGAGTTTTGATGCTTAAAATTTTCCTTACGATATTGGTGAAAAAATTATTTTACACATAATTGAGCAAAAGCTAAATTTAATTTAAATTAAACATTGTCATAGTAATTCAGTTTAAATGTAATTAGAAAAGTTAATTTAATTTAAAAGAGCTAAATTTTAATGTCTCATCATTTTTTAAATTAAATTTTGATAAATTTTAATAACTAATTTTAACACAAAAAATTAATAAGCTTCTCAAATCCACATGTGTGAACAAAAATCATGAATGAGAAAGGAAATTCAAAATTCTGGGTTTCTGTTTTTAGAAAAAGGTGTATAGTTTTAGAGAGTAAACTGAATACTGTTACTCTTAGTAATCGTGTGTGTGTGTGTGTGTGTGTGTGTGTGTGTGTAAAATCTTTTAAAAAATTTTTTATTTGGAGATAGGGCAGGAAGTTGTAGTATTATCATAGATATTTTCCTTATTTCAGATATATATTTCCCCAGGTGACTATTACGTGCATTTCTTTCTTAACAGAATTGTAGACATTTGATAAGTAAATGGCCAAGTACGTTCAACAATCATTCTCCAACTATTACTGTGGATATAAGAGAAAAACAACTAATTATCAGTATATTATTAATGTAATTTTCAGTTTCATCGAAGTAAAACTGATCTCCTAAAATAAATTGACCCAGAATATTAGAAAAAATTTGTTGTTGTTGCATCATATTTTTGTCTCGTACCTAATTATTTTGAAGTAGGGAATCATTAAAGAATTTCAGAATACACATTTTTATATGAAATGCTCTGTGAGGCTTAACTCTGCTGATTGTCTCTGACTTCACTTCTCACTGAAGAAGGAGAAACATTTTCAAGGTATAAATTTCAGTCTCTGAGTGTGCTGGTGGCCACTATTTTTGTTAAAGAAGTTGAAATTAAAATTGAGTGGGAAACAAAACAAGGATTATTGTTTTATTGGGTCAAGTAGTTCACTGTCAGTTTCATATGGGACTGATCTACTGCGATCCAGACTTAAGTAATCAGTTTGTCTTTTTTTTCTTTCTTCTTAGCATGCTGTTAAGAGTGACAGGAGAGGTAGAATTCAGTTGTTGATTGTCAAATAGGACTAATGAAAGATTTGGTAAAGAGGCTGAATCCAAGTAAGGCCTACTCCCCTTTATTTTCCATATATAATCAGGAGTTGCGTCGAAAAATCTTCATGGACTATAATTTAGTCAGGGTTCATATAGTAGTCTTAATATATAGGTTGATTAATGCCAGTTCATTTAAATTTAATTGAAGAATATATTTTTTTTAGGTTTTAGTTTGGTGAGGATACATTAGAATTTATGGAAAATAGACTATTTAGAGACAATATTTACAGTGTGTATGTTGTCTTATTTTTGCCTTATTCAAGAAAATGTTTTATTATGAAAATTTCCAAACATAGCAAAGTTGAAGTTTATAGTGAACACCCATATACCAACCACCTAGATTCCACTATTTACAGTTACTATACTTGATTTATCCACCCATCAATCTTAATTTTTGATACATTTCAAAGGTTTCTTCCTAAAAAAATTAAACATTAATTTTAATGCATGCATATCATTAACTACCAATCAATATTTGTTTACTCTTTTCTTCCTTTTAACTAAAATTTATATTCAGTGATGTACACAAATTTTAAATGTAACATTGGATAAGTTTTGACAATGCTTACCTCTGTGTAACTCAAACCCTTTCAAGATATGGAGTGTTACCATCACCTTGCAGTTAGTTCCCTTTTGTCCCTTCCCAGTCAGTCCCCACCTGTGTACCTCGAGAAGCAATGACTACCACAGATTAGTTTTGCTTGTTGTTAAAGTTCATATAAATCATCATACAAATAAGCACATTTAACTTTTTTAACAGAAATTTATAGGTTCTCGATTTGAAGCAGCATTTACTGATTTCTATAAAAGCTGGTAATATAATTAAGAATTCATTTGGGCAAATTTTAAAAAGTGGTTAGAAGGCCCTTTGAAAAAACAGCATATTCTGAGGTTGCCAAGGTTGAATTTTAATCTAGATTGGGCATGGCAAATACATTTCAACTCTCATTATAGGATTTTACTGGACCTCTGTGTTAAGAAAGATTCTAAGGCTGCATGTGGGTATATAGAAATGGTGGTATTTAGTGATGTATGCTTGTCCCAGAATTTGAGTAGTGGCACAAGAACCACACATTGGCTGTTCCTAAGAAATAGTGGCAATTAACATGTATTTCCTGACTTTTTTTTGCGGGGCCGGGGGGGACCATGCTGCGCAGCTTGCGAGGTCTTAGTTCCCCGACCAGGGATTGAACCCAGGCCCTCGGCAGTGAAAGCACAGAGTCCTAACCACTGGACCACCAGGGATTCCCTATTTCCTGACTTTTTATACTACAGTTTTTGTTCATTTGGGGCCCTATGTTGTCTAGAACTCAACCTCAGTGAGTGTGTGCCAGTAATCACATATTGAATACTGTATAAAAATTAGAGGAGGTATTACCCTTTAGTAACTTTGTGTGCATGTACTGCTTGAGTTATTTAGAGCTAAGTATTTGATTGCTGTGTATTTATGAACAGAGGAGTTGGTGGGGTCGAAATATAGAGAAAGCAGAGTGTGAAGGGTGTTTTCATCTACTAGTTTAATCTGTACTTTTGTTTGTTTGCTTCCTTTCCTTATGGAATTTAAGAACAGTTCCATGTCAGATATTCCAGATCATAGTTAGTGTAAAAATCATAATTAATGTAAAAAAAAATAGTTGTCACCTGAAGAATATTGTGTAGCTCTAGACCTGCAGTTTCTATAAACTATAGAACATTAAATTAACATCCTAGTAAAACATCAGAACTTGACTTGTCAAGAGAAAAAGCTAAGGTATGTACTATTTACTCTTCTTCTTTTCTAGTGGTTTTCTTGCAGGGAAAGTAAATAAAGGACATGTTTTTAAAAATATAATAGCTCTTTGTTTTGCTTGCCAAGTAGGAGCAGATGTATCATCTTTGGGCCAATTTCCATCTGTCTAATTTCAGTGTCCATAAGATGCCTAATATTGTGGTCTAAAAATGGTACTTTCTTTGAAAGAAGACTACTGAATTGTTTTATACTTTCTCATTGTATTTTATTTTGCTCAGCAAGTGTGCAGGAATATACTGCACATGTGATCCCAAGTGTATTAGGTGCACTTGGTAGCATACATCCTCATTGGTACATCCTCATTAGGATGAGGAATGATGGGTATCCAGGATTATTAAATCAGTTGCCACATTTGCCTCCTGCTCCCTGCATGAACTTGCCCTGGAGTGGGCTGTAGGCTGAGCCACACACATCCCTGGCCTGGGAACCCTCCTGCAGGCACCAAGGCTTGCCTTCCCCAGCTTGTTCTGTGCTAGGGCCACACGCTGACGCTGGGGTCTTCTGGCCTCCATGCCCCCACCCCTCCTGGCAGGACCCCAGGAGGCATAGAGCCTCCTTCCACTTCAGGGGCTGGTCTCTAGGCTGTTACTTTTTTTTAATATTTTTGAGTACCCATCAAAAATGGTATGAAGACTAACTCATAAGCAAATTTCTAATAACATTTTATTACTATCTTTTGTAATTAAAATACTGAAAAGAATACCAAATAAAAGATATCAAGGAAGGAAATATGAACAATAGGGAGGTATGCCAGAATTGTTAGGAGTGTTTCTGTTTTCTTTTGAGTTTCAATCTGAATGCATAAATGGGACTCTGAATGTGTATTACTTTATGGAATTTAAATATGTTTCCTAGGACTTTACAATACATAAGTATGATCTCAACTGAAATATATCATTGTTTTCAAGAGTTGTTTCTCTCTTTCAAGAGTCTGTTCTCATAGAATCATGGCAATTGAATTATTCCAACTTGTATTTTTTCTCTAGGAACATTGGTTCCTATAAGATTATTTATTGGGACATTTTGGATTTCTTGTAAGTTACTTTTGTTTAGTAATATGCACTAGACAATTTTATTTACAAAAAATTAGAGTATAGAATAAATTATACCTCCAGAATTCCATTATGAAGTCTACCTCCTAGATCATTTATATTAGCCATATATGAGTTTGAGGACTTATAAATATTTCGGTCTCAATAGCTGGCTCAAATACATGGTGACTGTTTTTTTTCTTTGAAGTGAAAAAATGAAACTCTGCTATTCTGTTTTTTCTTCTTTGAAGCTAAAAACAAGGCCCTGCTATTACTTTAATTTCTCTTCCTTTATCCCCAACCCTCACCCTCTGGATTTCTTGAACTGTTATCTTGGAGAATGCCTGTAGCATTGTTATCTTTCAGATACTTTTAAAAAAACAACCAATTGAAAGTCATCATCTTCTAGAGGTATATTTTGAGATATTTATGGATAAAAAGATATATCTGGGATTTGCTTTAAAATAATTGAGAGTGGGGAGAAGTGGGTAAGGATATAGATGAAATAAAATTGGTCAAGAATTAATCATAGTTGAAGCTGGGTAATAATGGTATAGGTGGTTTCATTTTATTGTTCCCTCTGCTTTTGTATGTGTTTGAAATTTTCTGTGTTAAGTTAAAAGATGAAAATAGGGTCTATTTGGAGATTTAAATTTAGCAGAATATAAATTTGAATTACACTCTGAAAATTATAGTGTGAGATAGTCATGTTTTTCACTTTTGAGTAAGATAATTTTGCTACATACAAATTTAAATTTTAAGTAGGCTTTCTTGTGATGCTACGATAAAGGTATATTTAGTTAGGTGAGCCTAATCATTTGTTCTATTGTTACAATTGAAAGCTTGTTCTTTCCTAAAGCAGGTCTAGTTGAATGACTGTATTAATAATTCTCATTGTTTCAGGTAGTCCAGCAGCCTTCAGGAGGCCTTGCAAAACAAGTGACCACACTTTCCCATTCCTCAGCATTGACCATCCAGAAATCTGGACAGAAGGTGACAGTGGGCACTGCAGTACCTACCAGTCAGTTTCCTCAAGGTAGACTCTGGCTCATCCCTTGGGTTTGGAACATGATGGGTTTCCGTACTTTTCTTTTGCACTGTTAAGAGAAGAGAGATTTCTTTTAAGTTGAGACCTGTGAGAGAAGACTGAAAGATAACTTTATTATATTCTTTGTACATAGCCACTTTTTAAGGGTGTATGTTGTTTTAGATTAAAGAAGCACCACTCATGGTGTTTTGTAACTAGATAAAACAATCTACTAGTAAATAAAGTACTTTTTTTAACTTATAAAATTTGCTATTGTCTTATTTCTTTTTAAAATGTGCTTCTTTCCCTACGTTTGGAAGTCAGTCTTACAAATAAAAGAGGTTTTATGTACTTTTTAAATCTACCAATATAAAGGATATATTATTAACATGTTTCTGTCACCTTTTCTGCATAATATTTTTCTAATGCTGGTAATTCTCTAGCCAATTTGAGGATCATATAAAAAGAAATGGGAGAGGTCTTAATTTTATGATTTCTTGTGCAGGGAATAAATTCATTGTCATGTTTGAATTTAAACATAGTTCTAGGGCAGCTTGAAATTTTCTTTGATTGTTCTGTATGCATTAAAAATAACTTGTCCTGAATTTTTCCTAATGTAGTGTGATTGCTTTTTTAAAATTTTACCTTTTCTTTCTTCTTTTGATTTTATAGCTTCCATTCTAAAGCAAATTACCCTGCCAGGAAATAAAGTTCTGTCACTTCAGTCATCTATTCAGAAAAGCAAAATAAAAGAGAATGGAACAGCATCCTTCAGGTAAAGAAATTAAATAGTTAAAACTTGGTCTGGTTTAAGAAATTAATATTTTTTAAAAAACAGGAAAGGGATGACAGAATAATACTTATATAAAATAAATTTAATGATGCCTTTTTAAAAAGCTAACAGTACTTTATTGAGTATAATTTATAAGCAGTAAAGTGCACAAATCTTAAATGTAGAGCTCAATGAATTTTGACGAACATATGCCTGTGTAATCATGATTCAGACCAAGATGCTGAACATATCCATCATCTCTATGCTCCTTTCATATCAATGACTTCCAACCCTTGCCTTTGGCAGCCACTGTTCTTATGTCCATCACCATAGATCATTTTTGTCCATTCTTGAACTTTACATAAATGGAAAATTACATTATCTACTCTGTTGCATTTGACTTTTTTCACTCAGCATTTTTTTGAGATTTATCTACATCATTTTGATTATTAGAAGATTGTTCTTTTGTACTGGTGAGCAGCATTCATTGTCTGAATGTAAATTTGTTTATCCGTTTTCCTGTTGATGGACATTAGGATGTTCCCAGTTGTTTTTTTTTTTGTTGTTGTTCCCAGTTTTTTAATGATTCTATATAAAGTTGCTATAAACATTTACATACAGATTTTTATGTGACCATAGGTTTGATTTCTCTGTAGTAAATATCTAAGAGTATTATTGCTGGATCATTAGGTAAGTATGTGTTTTACTGTTTAAGAAACTACCAAAGTTGTTTACTTTGTTTACTTTGCATTCCCACCAGCAGTGATGAGAGTTCCAGTTGCACTCCAACTCTGTCAGTACTTGTTATTGCCAATGCTTTTGATTTTTACTATTCCAATAAGTGTACAGTGGTTGTTATTATTGTCATTTTAATTTGCACTTTCCTAATGACTTAAGATGTTGAGCATCTGTTCTTATGCTTATTTGCTATCCTTATACTATCTTCTTTGGTGAAGTGTGTATTCAGATCTTTTGCCCATTTTTCCTTTGAGTTGTTTTTTTTCTTATGATTGAGTTTTTAGAGTTCATTGTATATTCAAGATCCAAGTCCTTTGTCACATAGTGATTAGGAAGTATTTTCTTTGTGGTGTGTTTTATCATTCTTTTACCAGTGTCTTTCACAGAGCAAAAGTTTTTAATTTTGCTGAAGTCTAGTTCATTAGTTTTTTTCTCTTATAGGTTATGCTTTTCATGTTTTGTCTAAGAAATGTTTGTGTAACCCAAGGTTTCAAAGATTTTCTTCTATGCTTTGTTCTAGAAGTTTTACAGTCTTATGTTTGTCCTTGGATTGATATTCTTTAATTTCTACCAGTTGATTACGTAAAAATCAGTGTGTGGATATTCTATTTTCTTTTTTCTGTATCTTCTCCCATTTTTAGTTGCATTATTTGTCACAATATATAAATATTTGTACATTAGTCCTCCTTCCTCATCCCCACCTATATTTTAGTTGTAGTTCTACTTTTATATTAAAATGCTCACCTTCAGTCTGTTCTCTGAAGTTTTCCTAGTCATCTCTTGTTTGGATGAAATTAATTGAATGTAGTCCATACTTTGATCTACCAGGACAACCATTATTTCATCCTTATGCCTGCCACTAGTTCTCTGGTCTCTCTTCTGCAGTTTTTATTCAGTCTTCTTTTACCCAAAGCCTTTGAGGTGGGGGTGAGTGGGTTGGGAAATTGGTCGCAATAGGACAAGAAAGTATGCACTGTGAATTGTTTTCCTTTTTCACTTATTCTTGTTTTGAAGTTTGGGTATTTTTTGTCTTCAAGTTATGCTGAGGCTGTGGTTTTTGTTGTTCTGTATTGTTTTGGGGAGTAAATGTTGGAAGATGGTGACCTAGGACGTCATCATTGTCTTCCAGTGCAGTGAGTTTTGACAAAAGGCTAAATTCATGTACCCAGTACCTCAGTCAAGATACATAGAATACTTTCAATACCTCAGAAGCCTCCTTTGTGAGACTTCCCAGCCAGTCCCCCTATTATACCTTAGGCAGCCACTGATTGGCTTCTTATCATTGTAGATTTGTCTTTCCTGGGGTTTCAAATCAATAGAATCATATAATTTGTATTCTTATGTTTGGTTTCCTTTGCTCAGCATAATGTGTTTGATATACATGCAGTGTTGTTGCATGTATTAGGAATTTGTTCCTTTTCATTGCTGAATAGTATTCCACTGTATGGGTCTACTGCATTTGTTTGTACTGAATTGTCTCTTTATCCATTGGTGGACATGCGGGTTGTTTCCAGTTTTGGGCTATTATGAATAAAGCTGCTAGGAACACCTGTATCCAAGTCTTTGTATGGACATAAGTTTTCCCTTTACTTACATAAAGATATGAATGAAAATGCTGAATCATTTAGTAGGTGTATGTTTAACTTTATAAGAAACTGCCAAACTGTTTTCCTTTGTGGTTGTACCATTTACAGTCCTACCCGCAAAGTATGAGAATTTGTTCCATATCCTTGCTAACAATTGATAAACTGCAGTTTTAAAAGTTTTAACCATTGTAGTTGGTATTTAGCTGTACCCTCATTCTTCAGTATCTGCAGTGGGATTGGTTTTAGGACCCATTGCAGATGCTCAAGTTCTATAGTCTGCCCAGCATATCTGTGGTTCTGCATCCTCAGATTCAACCAGCTCCAGATCATCTACTACTGTGTGTATTTACTGAAAAAAATCTGTGTATGAGTGGACCCGTGCAGTTCAAACCCATGTTGATCAAGATGCTGAGTGTATTTTCCTGTCCTTATTGGCCATTTGTGTAGCTCCTTTTGTGAAATGTCTGTTCAAATATTTTGCCCATTTTTAAATTGAGTGATTTTGTCATGCACTTTTTCTTCATCTATTTAAGATGGTCATTCATTTTTTAAATAATACAATGTATTCTGAATTACACTGATTTTTAAAAAAATAGTTTGAATGTTAGTATTCCTGAAGTATTATTATCCTTTTTATATATTGCTGCATTTGATTTGATTAATATTTTAAGGGTTTTATATGTATGTTCTTTAGGGATACTGGTGTATAGTTTTCTGTTCTTATGGTGTCTTTGCCAGATTTTGGTATGTGGTTATGCTGGTCTCAAAAATGTGTTGTATGATGTTTTTCCCTCTCCTTTATTTTAAACCTTTGAGTAGAAATTATTTCTTCCTTAAATATACGAATGAATTTACCCTTGAAACTAAATAGGTCTTTTGTTTTCTTTGGGGGGAAGGTTTTGGGTTTTTTTGTTTTTTTATTTATTTGTTTGCTCTGGGTCTTAGTTGCGGCAGGTGGGCTCCTTAGTTGTGGCTTGTGGGCTCCTTAGTTGAGTCATGCAAACTCTTAGTTGCGGCATGCATGTGGGATCTAGTTCCCTGACCAGGTATCTAACCCAGGCCCTGTGCATTGGGAGCATGGAGTGTTATCCACTGCACCACCAGGGAAGTTCCCCGGGGGAAGGTTTTGATAAGAAAGTCAGTTTCATCTATAAATGATATTCTCTGTCATCTTAATGTCAATTTCAGAAAGTTGCATTTTTTAAGGTTTTTGTACATTTTATCTTTTAAATTTGTTGAAATGAAACTGTGCTACTACTTTCTTTTCCTTTTAATATTTGTAGATTCTTTAGGGTAACATAGTATCTTGCTTTTTTTTTTTTTTTTTAAAGGATTTTGTGTATTTTATCTTAGTTGTTGACTTTTTCGGGCATATAGCTGTTCATTTTATTCCCTTATCCTTTTAATATCTGTAAGATTTGTAGTAATACTCTCTCTTTTCATTGATATGTTTCTTTCAGTTTTGTTTAGTGTTTTTAGAAAGTTAACTTTTGATTTTACTTTTTTTTTAATTTATTTTGGCTGCACTGGGTCTTTGTTGCTGCACACAGGCTTTCTCTAGTTGCGGCACGCAGGGACTACTCTTTTTTGGGGTGCACAGGCTTCTCATTGCGGTGGCTTCTCTTGTTATGGAGCACAGGCTCTAAGCACATGGGCTTCAGTAGTTGTGGCATGTGGGCTCAGTAGTTGTGGCACCCAGGCTCTAGAGTGCAGGCTCAGTAGTTGTGGTGCACAGGCTTAGTTGCTCACCGGCATGTGGGATCTTCCCTGACCAGGGCTTGAACCCGTATCCCCTGCATTGGCAGGCGGATTCTTAACCACTGTGCCACCAGGGAAGCCCGATTTTATTGTTTTTATCTGTTCATCTTTTGTCTATTTTATTGACTTATAAAAAATATGCCTTTCTTTTCCTTGTGTTGGGTTTTAGTTGCTTCTCTAAGTTGCTTCTTTAGTTGCTTCTCTAAGTACTGAGTTAGCATCCAGCCAATTATAGTGTTTCATTTTCATTTTTATTCATGTCAAAATATTTTCTCCTTTTCCTTTTATTTAATAGTACAAATACTTGGGGCTTCTCTAGAGATTTTATTCATTTTTTTCTAACGTAATTTTGTCCTGATCAGAGAATATACACTGTAAAATATCAATCTTACTAAATTTGAGACTCTTTATTGTGGTCAAACTTGATGAATATCTCATATGCCCTTGGAAAAAATGTATTACTCAGTTTGGGGGAGTAGTTTTTTGTATGTGCCATTCTGGTGAAGGTAGCTAGTAGTGTTTATATCTATTTCCTGGCTTTCTTTTTTTGGACTAGTTCCATCAGTTACTGAGAGTGGGTATTAAATCTCCAACTGTGCTTATAGATTTATTTTTTCCTTTAGTTCTGCCAGTTTTTACATTAATTATTTGAAGCTCTGTTATTAGGTATACACATATTTATATTTGTTACATTTTTCTAATAAATTGGCCCTTTTATCATAATTACATGTCCTTTTTTATTATTTTTAAAAATTTTATTTATTTATTTTATTATTATTTAAAAAAATTTTTGACCATGCTGCGTGGCATGTAGGATCTTAGCTCCCGGACCAGGGATGAAACCCGGGGCCCCTGTAGTGGAAGCACAGAGTCTTAACCACTGGACCACCAGGGAAGTCCCCACATGTCCTTCTTTATTTG